ACACAATACGTGAGACTCGTGATGGAACACAGGATGACTTTCCAGCACGATGGAGCACCCGCACATTTTGCTCGAAATGTACGTTCCCATCTGAACGACCGTTTCCCGCAGTGGATTGGGCGGGGAGGTCCTGTACCCTGGCCAGCGCGGTCCCCAGACTTGACACCGCTCGATTTTTTTTATGGGGTCATATTAAAATATTGTTTATGCGGAGTCCTGTGAAAGCGCAGAAGAAATGAGGCAGCGGATCGAAATGGCGTTTAGTCAAATCACTCTGCAGATGCTTCAAAGAGTAGAACAGTCTCTGTACCGACGCACGGAAATATGCATATTGCATGGAGGTCGGCATTTTGAACATTACCTGTAAATGTGTGAAATGTGCCAGCAGTGCGTGCAGTGATTGTACTTATTATTCAAAATTGTCGTAAACAAGTCAATATTTCGTACATTGTACAACAGTGAATTACAATTCGTAGGAAATTCATTAAAACGTGTATGAATTGAACAATACGTAAGTACCAATTAAAAAAGTATCCACTATTGTAAAATTGTCGTAAATAAATGTATTAATACAAAATTATGTAGAATGTGTATACGATGAAGGCGTGCGTAACTACGGGCTTAATAAGTAAATAAATATCCTTTAAATTGTATGTAAATAAGTACGTACGCGTACCTAGGTATGGCATAAAATAATATTGTTAGAAATAATTCGATTTTTCTAGATATTTAAAGATTTTGTTACTTAATATTAACGTATTATCAACATATTCAAATCATGTTTTTACAATGGCATTTCAATTGTAGTCAGCTGTTCTGTGTCCCCGCTTGCGGCCGCCCAGGTTTCATGAATGAATTTGTGAAGTCGTAGTAACGTAACTAGCAATAGAGTTGTGACGCAGTGGTTGTTTCGGACAATCACTATTTATACAAACATAATTAAACTTATATCAACATTAAAAGTCACTTATTTTTATTTGATATTTTGCACAGAGGGTCTAGATCAAGTATAGGTTTGGCTCCTTTAATATGACTACACCTTGCTGTTACACCCTGTATAATGTTAGGATTTTGTGATCATACTAAAGGTTACAGACTTGGTGATCCAGTTGATGGCAATAAAATGCTGTTGAATTTATAGAAACGGTTAGAGATATTCAATTTAAAACTGCAAAGGATAATAAAAGTTTTAAAGATTTAGTTAACACTGTTGATATTACTATAACTAATGGAAACACTTTAGATGCACATGTCAATGATTCTGACGACGACGAGAATGCTACACCAGATGTTTTATCTATCAATAATGAAGTTCTAGGCGTCGTTGAAGAACCTGAAGTTCAAACTATAGTTCCATCTGATGAACACAGAGAAGCTGAATCTTTGTTGAATAATATTCAATCAGAGAATGATTTAGAACTACAGAATGCATCAGATTTTCAAATTACTGATGATTCTAGGCCTGTTCGAAATCGGCATCCTCCACTTTAGTTCAGAAATTATGAAGTGAATTATTTCACGGAACTAGCGTTTACAGGACGAAATGAACCTAGAACATATAATCAAGCTACAAAATGTGAAAAAGCGAAATATTGGTTAGAAGCTATGAAAGAAGAATATAATTCACTTTTGTCGCTTGGAGACTGGGAACTTGTTGATCGGCCTAAACATGGAAATGTCATTAAATGTAAATGAGTTTTCAAAGAAAAAGTTGATCCAAATGGTAATTTTGACAAATTTAAAGCTTGCTTAGATGCAAAGGGTTTCACTAAGCAATATGGTGTGGATTATGATTTTTGCACCAGTTGTTAGAAATTGCACATTATTTTTATTATTTGCAATTGGAATTGAAAATGATATGGACGTCGAACATTCAAATGTTAACACGGCATTCCTTAATGGAAATCGCAATGAATGCATTTACATGGAGCAACCTACTGGATTTGAGATTGAGGGGCAGAACAAAGTATGTTTACTCAAGAAGAGTTTATATGGACTCAAACAAGCCAATAGAGGTTAGAATGAAAAAGTGCATAAAGTTTTAACTACCAATGGCTATACGCAATTGAAGACTGAAAAATGTGTTTATTATAATCATTATAGCACTTTATGCTGATGACTTCTTCATATTCAGTTCAAATGAACAACAAAAAAAGTATGCTATATAAGATGCTCAGTTCCAACTTTAAGATCAAATTGCTTGGACCTGTAAAGCAAGCATTGGGTATGAAGGTTGAAAGGAACCGGGAGCACGGGACTTTAAAGCTGACACAGTCGGAATATGTAAAAAGTCTGTTAACAAAATTTAGCATGGAAGATTGTTACAAAGTAGCGACTCCTATGGAAGTCAATTGCAATCTGCCGAAAGCAGAAACAATCGATACGCGGTTTCCGTATCAGGGACTTATTAGTAGTTTAATGTACCTTGCTGTTTGCACACATCCAGATATTGCACTTGCGTGCAGTAAACTCAGCCAATATACCACTTGTTATAATGAATCGCACTGGCTCGCAGCTAAACGTGTACTGCCGTATCTTTCAGGAACAACTGGCTGTGGTCTCGATTTTAGGAGAGGTAATAATAAAGTTGAAATCTCATCTGATGAAGATTGGGTGTGGGATAGTAGGTAGAAGTAGTTAGCAGTAGAAAGCAGTAGATTCGGCTTTTGCATTGTAAATTGGTACAGTCACAAACAACAAAATGTGGCTTTTTCTAGTACCAACGCTGTATACTATGCTTTTGGGAGTTCTGTAAAAGAGGCAAAATTTTAGAAAAAAATTTTATTCGAGCACAAATACAGGAGCCTGTCACCACCAGAACCTATAATAATTTTTAATGACAACCGTAGCACACTCAAAATGGTAGAGAATGAATGTTTTAGGAGAACTAAACATAGACATTTTAGACGGATTTTTCCAAAGCATTTGACAAAATTAGTCATTCTCTGCTCATAGAAAAACTTGATAAGATCGGTGTACATGGTAGTTTGCTTAGATGGGTAGAATCGTACATAGGAAATAGAAGTCAGGCGGTTTGCTTGAGAGGTTATTGTTCAAAATATTTGCCTATCCCTTCGGGAGTTCCACAGGGCGCGCATCTGGCCCCGTTGCTCTTTTCCTTGTATGTTAATGATTTAGGACATGCTTTGCGCCACTCGAATCACCTGCTTTATGCAGATGATACGAAATTTTTCAGAATAGTAACCTCTCCTAGTGACTGTGAGTTATTACAGTCAGATATTGCAGCTCTTTCGGAATATTGTAGTGTAAACCAACTTTTCCTAAACGTAGACAAATGTAAGATTATTACTTATACCCGCAAAAAATCTCCAATACTTTTTAATTACACACTTGAGCATTCCAGTCTGCAAAGAGTAAATGCCATCAGAGACTTAGGCATTCTCATGGATGATCAATTATCCTTCAACCGGCACATTGACAGCATTCTCAACCGCGCCTATAAAAGCCTGGGCTTTATTAACCGCATTACCAAACCTTTCAAACACGCTACAACATTTAAAATTTTATATTTTTCTTTTGTTAGATCCATTCTCGATTTCGGAAGCGTAGTTTGGAACCCATTGTATAGGTGTCACATCGATCGAATTGAGAGAGTCCAACAAAAATTTGCAAAGATTCTTAATTCTCGGAGTAATCGCCAATTTGAATCGTATGAATACACCCTTAGGCGTAATAATTTACTTACTTTACAGAATCGCCGTAAGAAATCCGACATAGTTTTTCTTTTCAAAATTCTTAACAATTTAGTTGATTCACCAACTCTGTTGTCGAAGGTTAATTTCATAGTTAAAGCACGTTTACCAACACGCTCTCAACGTAAAATAAAGATTTTCGTACCACCATGCCTCCACAAGAATTATACAAGAAATAGTTATATATGTCGCTCATTAACTTCATACAATGATACTTTTTTGACACGGATATTTTTGGTATCTCACTCAACAAATTTAAGTTAAGCATCCTCAACAAACTTTTGTGCAGCATCGATGCAGCCTAGCTGTCTAGTGTCAGTATATTCTGTTACACATCCCTAAATTTTCATTTCTATTTTTTATGTCTTATTTTTTACGCCGTAATTGCAGTATTTCTCAGTTCACTGTGTGGAAGGGGTAGGCAGATTGGTTATGTTAAAATTCACAAAAAACACTAAATAAATAATTTAACTTATATTACACTCAACCGTCTATGGTTGGGTTGGGTCTATGATCTGTTTTCTTTGCCTATTTCGCGGAGTGTTTTGATATTGTAATGTTTCATTATATTTATATTTATTTAGTTTTGAGTTGTAAAATATTATAAATTCTTTCTCTGCAACTATGTAAGCCCTGCAGCCTATTTTGTAAAATTGTATAATAGTAATTTTCGGTACTCGTTGTCTACAGCATACTTCTAATTTCTTTGTAACCATTATTTTGTAATGACTGTTTGTACCAAAATAAAATAAATAAAAAAAAAAATAACATTCATCATCATTTCATTCAAGAATGGGTTGATGATAAAGTAGTCTTAAACAGACTACAGCACAAGTCTTCAACGGAGTTAGAGGCAGACAAAAGAGATTTTTGAACGTAATGTCGAGGAGTACATAATGACATTCTGACCAAACCATTCGGAAGGGTTTTATTACTTGATTATGATTGTTCATGGAAGTGTAAGGGGCAGTGTTGGTAAACCTTTTTGCTGACACACCTTCTATGTATGTGTGATTATTTCGAATTTTGATTTAAGATATTTAAGGTGTTCCTTATCATGACGACTTAAGAATCAATACATTGTTTTCTTCATCACTACAACTTGTGATGTTTTTATTTTTGTCGAGATTTTCTGGGATAGAAGACTCCTGTCTTTACAGTTTCAGACGGATGTCAGATGGAGAATGGATACAGACCCCTGATTATAATTGCTACACCTGACCCGCTGCACCTCACATGTAATGGTATAGTAAAGTTAAAAATAGCCCCTTCTATGTTAAAACTCACCTGCAGATTGCTTCATGTCATCATTGACTTCACAATAGTAAAGAGTTTGTTTAGACCCCTGCACACCAACTCCTGATCTATAGGCACAAGTAAAATTAATAAAACAAAATGACTTAATTAATTCCAACTCCTGACTTCCTTAAGTAACTAAAAGGTGATAGTAGATATACCTATTACCTGTATGAATTTACCAACTCCAGGTCAGATAACTTGACATGATAGCCACATTCCTCAAGCACCTCTTCACGAGCAATCTCTACGAGAGGCTTGTCTTTGTCCACAATCCCTGCACACAGCTCCAATGTGACGCCCAGTGCTGCCGGGTACTTGTCTGTGTCGACGACATCTACGTCGCGGTCCTCCGGCTCCAGACTGTTGAAGTATACAGCTGGGAACCACAGTCACAAATTGAATATACACTGAGTCTTTTCTGAATAAATTCCTAAAGGTAGGGTTTCGACCTCTCACCTGGACGGAACTGTTTAACGAAGACGAGTTTTTTGCGTTCGACGTTGAAGATGATGATCGCAACCGAATCGTGCACTTCTAACAGGTCCCATGATTTGCTTTGCCCGTTCTGCGTGTAGTTGAATCGGAATGGACGCACGTATGTCGTGTCCGGCAGCGGAGAGAAGGACACATTCTTGAGATCCTCCATGCTAAGCCGGCACTTTGTATTTGCTTTGTATAGCTTGACTTGCACACTGGCACACAGATTTGCTGCCACAGGTGCACAATTTACACGCAGCGGCTGATAAATAATATTTGATAACAAAATAGGTAAACTTGATAAAATTAATGAAAAATCGTGAGGAAAAATTAAACAGAAACTTATTTCTTTATGGCATTCGACATTGGACACAGAAACCGGAATTAGAAAATTCAATCAGCTCTAACATAACTCTTGTACTTGACACTTCTCAACTTGATATGAGATGATGTTGTTGTTGTTTTTTCAATTCTTTCCGTAAAGGAAAAGGCAAAAGTTTCACAACATACAGCCAAGTCTTCGTAAATTTTTCTTCTTATTTTCAATAAAAAATAGGCATACGCCAAGTCTTCAGTGCATTATTTATTTTATAGGCATTAAGCCTCGTCTTCGTTGGGTCATATCGGATTAGGGTCAAGTCAGGGTATAATGTTCTAATTCCGGGTAAGTTTCAATTCCGAGGATATGTTAAGTCCAATGATCGTCAATTCCGAATATTTTATCAATTCTGATTAAATCCAAATCCATTCTAAAGATCTTCTATAGTAGAACAAAGAAATTTATAAATATGATTGTAAGTTTCAGGGTTTTTGAGAAGTTCTTGAGTACCGCGCGGGATCGGACTTGAAGGTTGGTAAATATATACATATTAGCTTGTCAATTAAGGCCAAGCGCTGAATATTATAATGGGGGCGAACAAATAATATGTGATCCACTGTTTGATCCAAGTCTGAGTTGCATTCTGTGCATTTTGGCGACAGGGCTATTTTCATTCTGTGTAAATGTGCATTCATGCGACAGTGGCCAAATCGTAAGCGAGATATAATTGTATAAAATTTTCTTCCTCTATACTGTTGTGATTTGGAGAACCAAGGTTTTTTCCCAATAACTTGATTAATGGAAGCATACCAGGAACCTTTGTGTAATTTAGTATCGTTCCAACGAGCGGACCATTCAGAGAGGATATCTTTCTTGACCTTAGATACTAAGAGTCGTATTCTAGAACTATACTCAATGCTCAAGTCAGGATTTGAGTATGATTCAAAGCACTAGAAATCATACTCAAGTCCTTATCATTAGGGTCGTATTTTCAGTGCTTGAAATCATACTCAAGTCTGCTCAAATCCTGACTTGAGCATTGAGTAGAGTTCTGGAATACGACCCTATGTGTGTGTCCATGGTACCCGCGACACAGGGTTTCCCTAGTGCGGGGCCATGTTGAGTGTGTGTGTTATTATTATTATTATTAGTAATCGCGGTTGTGGTAGGAGGTCGACTATTCGCTACCGTATATCTAATCAAGTCGTATCTGTATCCAGAAAGTCCATCAGCGGAAATTGTCACCAACCAGACCGATCCCATATCTTTCTACGTTAATTTTGATTATAGTGACCCTCCCTACCGACCCTGAGGGTATACGAGAAGGGCTCTGTAACCTATGTACGTACAGGAACCTCCTAAGTTCATGTTCTGACCCTAGATCAGCCAATATACAGGGTTGTCACAGACCTCTGTCACTTGACTTCATCCGGTTCTTCGAGAGGCTAGTGGATCGGGTGAGCCGCCCCGGGTGCACGTACAGTGCCCTTCCTATTTTCCAGATACGTACCGGAGCTGTAGGCACGCTCACTTCCCGTTGCGTATTGCACAATTAGCGGTTGCCACCGCTGAGCCGTCGACTCGGAGTCCACTACCAAATCTCCTCATTGGTGGTGGAGATGTAAGGCACGCTCACTTCCCTACGCCGAAAAACGTCGTCTCTCCAGTTCCCAATAACCTAAGCTGCTGGAGGGACCAGAGGTTATCCAGCTTATCCTTTACTAGCTCTTCGGGCTTACTAGTGCCGGAGATGCCAGTCCTGCGACATGTCCGGACATAGCTTCCAACTTAAAGGGCAATTCACGTGTCCCGCGCGTCTCCTTGCTTCAGGTTTCAGAAAGACGCCCCAGCCACACCTAACCGGGGCAGACAAGCAAGTCTGTCTCTGCAGCTAACCACAAACCCCGGCGAGACCATCCCATTAAATAGCTTTCTGCACCCCTCATCTGTCTCCTGACTGCAATTTTTAACGCCGCTCTGACCAACTGCATCCTTCCGCAAAAGTGGAAAGAGGCGGTGGTCATCGGTATTCACAAGCCCGGGAAACCTCTATCTGAACCCTCCAGTTATCGTCCCATCTCCCTGCTTAACACCATGGGCAAACTCTATGAGCGCATCCTATACGCCCGCCTCAGAGACTACGTTATGTCTCACAATCTCCTCCACGACGAACAGTTCGGTTTCAGAGCTAGGCACTCATGCGTCCAGCAAGTGCACCGGATAGTGGAACATATCTCCGAAGGTTTCGATCGCCCCCGCTTCATGCCCATCAGCGCCCTCTTCTTCGATGTGGCAAAAGCTTTCGACAAAGTCTGGCACAACGGTTTACTTTACAAGCTGTACAATCTCGGCGTGCCTGATCGTCTCGTGCACATCATTCGTGACTTCTTGTCGAACCGCTCTTTCCGCTACCGAGTTGAGGGCGCACTCTCCTCCCCTCACCCCGTAAGCTGGAGTCCCGCAAGGCTCTGTCCTCTCGCCTCTCCTATTCTCCCTGTACACTTGCGATATCCCGAAGTATCAGGCAGTAAATCTCGCCCTCTTTGCCGACGACACTGCGCTCTACTATTCGGCGCGCAGTTTCAAGCTAGTTTCCGCGGCTCTCCAATCTGCCACCACACGCCTAGGCGAGTGGTTTCGCAGATGGAGAATCGAAGTCAATCCCGACAAAAGCGCGGCGGTATTCTTCACGCGAAGTAACCTATCCAGTCGTACGGTACAAGATCTCACCCCGATCTCGCTCTTTGGCCGCCTAATCCCTTGGGTGAACACGGTCAAGTACTTAGGAGTTACGCTCGATAGGAAGCTGTCATTCAAAGCACACGTGAAAACCGTCCGCGATCGCGCCCACTTTGTTATGAGCCGGCTCCATCCCCTTCTCAACAAGCATAGCAAACTCTTCCTTCGCAATAAGATGAGACTGTACACGACCTGCATCCGCCCAATCATGACGTACGTCAGCGTCGCATTCGCTCAGGCAAATCCCGCGCTAATACACCGCCTGCAGGCTCTCCAAAATAGATTCATGCGCAACGCGACGGGTGCCCCGTGGTACAGACAAGAGCACGTCAAGCTTGACACTTTGTACTTTGGACCGTTCTTACCGCAAGCGGCATAGAGTTGGATTTAAATCTTAATTGTCAAGCTGGACGTGCTCTTGACCCTGTTCCTGAGCAACGCTAACCTCCATATAGATTTACGGCTCCCCACAATAGCCCAATTCTGAGCGGACGTGTTGATGAATGCCATACGCCCATAGTACTAATCACTGTGCCACCGAAGAGCATAAGCACACCCCGTAATCTGAAACCGACCACCCGCCGCAGGCAGAGCCCGACCCCACCTACGGTGGCGTAGGGCTCGTATATACAGGAAGATTTTTTTATCACTATCCAAATTTTTTTTAACGATACCTAATGTATCGTTAATAGAACCCATTTCTGAAATAAAATATGTAGGTCATATTTTCACAATAAAATAATTTTCCCGATCCAATAATCAATAAAGCGTGGTAACCATTTCTAGCGTAAATTTCTCTAGTACGCAAAGCGGCAACATCAATGAACACACCTGCGCGCGCGGCGCGGAGACGGGAAGGGCTAGTTGCGGGGGAGGGCGGAGGGGTACCGGGAGCGGCGACAAGTCACGCACAAAGGTCACGCAGTCGCCCGCGCATTTCCGCCCGGCGAAAGCGTGTTATCTCGTGCGAATTGCGATACATAGCGCAGCCCCTGCGATGTACTCAAACCGCGAATATTATGAAATGGTGCGATGTTATTTATTATGTGGCGAAAGTTTGAACGGAGCTCAAAGACTGTACTCCCTCGCCTTCGCAACCAAGGTGTAGTGAATCCTTCGATACCGAACCGTGCCACGATTCTCGCTGCCAATCAAAGGCTGTTAGATCATGGCCAGTTCACTTCTCCTTCACATGCACAAGGGCGTGGAAGGCAAAGACTGCCAGTAGAGATCGAGGAAGAAATCTTCGATTTTTTCGAAAGAAACGCAAGTACTCGAGATGCAGCGAGACGCTTCGAGGTCAGCCAGTACGCCGTCTGGAAGCTGCTCAACACCGCAGGGTTGAACCGTTACCACTTCCAAGAGGTGCAAGCATTAAGTGATGCAGATGCTGCGCCCCGCCGAGCCTTCTGCGAGTGGCTAATTACGCACCCGACGGCCGTTATAATGTGGACCGATGAGGCTTTGTTTACGCGTGTCGGATTATACAATCAGCACAACGAACACTGGTGGTCATTCCGAAACCCATACATGATAAGGGAAACCTATCATCAAGTGCGTTTTAGTGCCAACGTGTGGGCCGGTATCGTAGGCAATAAAGTACTTGGGCCGTATTTTATCGAGAGACGCTTAACCGGTGGCACGTATCTGGATATGTTGCGTACGGTGATCACGGACTTTGTGGACGAGGTGCCCCTCGTGCACCTGCGCGACTTTTATTTCCAACAAGACGGTGCCCCGCCTCACTACGCCGCCGCGGTGCGCGAATACCTCGGCGCTGAGCACGGCGACCACTGGATCGGCCGCGGAGGCCCCGTCCCGTGGCCAGCGCACTCACCGGACCTGACTTCATGTGACTTTTTTTTGTGGGGTGAAATTAAAAGACGTGTGTATGTGGAAGAGGCTCAAAGCCTAGACGCATTAAAACTGCAAATCATACGCGCGTTTGATGAAGTGAAAAGAGACACTGTAGTGCTTAATAAATTGAAAGACAATGTGCAGAAACGTGCTAGACTCTGTTTAGAGAGAAATGGTTTGCATTTTGAACAATTGCTAAAATACACTTAGTTATTAGGATTTTAATCTTTTTTTTTTTGTTTTATTGTAGGCAAGTTGAATTTCATTGATTTTAATTATTGTACATTCTAAGTTGATTCAAATTTTTTAAATACGCCTTATTGCAAAAGGTGCTGCCTACCTACCTACTTTGTAAAATTGCCTTCTGAGTAATTTAAACCTACCTACTACCTAGCTAATTTAAACGTTAACGAGTAACCTAAACTACCTTATCACTATGAAATTTAGGTAGGTACAATAATGCCTTTTGCGATCTGACGGTCCTAAGCCCGTTAAAGTATGAAGGAAAAATTTGCAACTTATGGATGTTATTATTTGTTATCAATCAAATGGCGGGGCGGGGGGCGGAAGCGCAATGCGCGGTGACCATTTACGTCAGGATTTTTTTGGATAATTTTGTAATGCCTTATCTCAATATTTTAGTACTGAATGATACTAAAAGAAAAAATACGTATATAATTATTTTCATTGCAGATCATAATATGAAATTTTGGATAGTGTTTAAAAAATCTTCCTGTATAATAAAATATATATTAAAAAAAATGCATTTATTTCGGACAACGTTGATCCATAGGGTGCTAGTATTACAAAAACGAACTTTAAATTACAACTATGTTAGTACCTAAACTTAAATGGAGAGAAGACGAGTGCCTTAATAGGCCCACTGTCCCACCTGTCAGCTACAACAGACAGGAGTCTGTGACGGCTGGCGCGCAACCTGCGCATCGACGCGCTGCAGCGCTTGCGCAACGTCGCTCCGAATCCGTCGACATTTGCGACCGCGAACATTCCGGAAGCGCTACAGCGTCGTGAAAGACGTAAAAACACCCTAAATGCGTCGTTGTATTGGACCCGCAAAGCATCGTGAGATCGTTGTGCGAACCTGCTCCATAGACTGCAAGAATACAACGATGTACAGTACGCTTTAAATAATGTTATTTTTACTTGAGCTGTACATCTGCTGAACCTGCGCGCTATCATGTTCGATCTCATGGCCAATGCTCTGCGCTCCCTCTCGATATCCGCGTCATCACGCAGATCGTCGGTTACCATGTGGGTAACCATGGTTGTCTGATTTCACTCATCTGCTATAATAGGTTAAATTTTTTTTTTCCAAATCTTCCATGTCATACGGATCTTGTAGGTCTTTCAACATCTGAAGCAATTGAGTGTGATATTCGTCATTGATATATTTTGATGAAGATCAAAATTCTCAAATGGTTTCAACGTAATCTTGTAAATTTTTCGCCGATTATTATGTACTCAAGCGCAACCAGGACCTCATTCAAGTAAATACAGATTTTGACAACACTCAACACAAGATTTTACAGTTGAGTATGAGTTGAGTACCGTTTAAGAAACAATAAAACTGAAACGAATCTCAAGCTCCGTTCTAAAATTAGGACGCAAGCTGTCACTTCCTCTGACATTACTCAGGTGAACTCTGATTACAGATTCTATGCTTAAGTAATATTCTGGAATAAAAACTCCGCTTGAAATCATACTCAAGTCCTGACTCGAGCATCGAGTACAGTTCATACGACTCGAATGTTTCGTAGATTGTTTCGACGAAACATTCGTGTATACCGAGCACGATAGTGTAAGTGCGGTATTAGAAATAGGTAGGAGGTGCTGGAAGGTATGTCATGGAGGGTAATAGTGGTCGACTGCCTGTGTCAAAAAAAATTCAAGACGGCGAATTCAAAATGGCGGTCGAAGAAAAACTTGCTTCGATCCGGCTGGAAATTGGCATGCAGAGGTCTTTACAAGTCCATAATCATAATTTGGGGTAAAAAATTTTTGTTTCGTTATTAATATGGTTGGATAAAATTCAATCGGTATGTGGGGTTCTCTATGGGTGTTTAATAATGATTTGTAATCAAAATTTACTTTTTGCTATTTTTCAATATGGCCGCCATAAAAGAGCTATGCTAATTTTTAAAACAAAGTCACAAGTGCCGAGGCCATAGGCCGCGGTCCACCGAAGGGCGAAGCCCGAAACCTCCGTAAGCCACCGTACGTAGGTAGTATACGGAGGCTTTATTACGAGTACAACATCTTACAATTGTTCAAAATGTGAGGCATACTTGCCGATGTAGTGGAAATGAGATACTTGTAGCGTTGTTGTATCTCGACCATCTCTCTGTTAGATTCTTTTTTCTTGGAAGGTATGCCAATGAGAATTATGTAGGGAAAAAAAATGCCAGACAATCACACCAAATTTCTGGTCTCAAATTATGGAATTTCCTGTACCATGAATACCAGAATAACGATAACTCTGAGGGCAATATCCAGAATACCCAGAACAGAACTAATTTAGAAATGTTCGTTTCTTAAATGGACCCAAATCGGGAATTGAACCCGCAACCTCTTCATCGAACAACCTTGGTACTAACTGCTGTGCCGCCACAATGCTTATGCACACCCCGTAATCTGATCCCGACCACGCGCCGGAGGCCGAGCCCGACCCCACCGTAGGTGGGACACAGAACTCGTATATGTAAGTGCTACTTACTACATACTACTTTACTACAATTATTATGAATCCAAAAGAATATCATCATTATCAATCAAATTATTATCATCAATAATGAACACTCAGCTTCATATTCGATATTTTTCCAGTTTTTTTGTTTTTCCTGGTTTTTCCTATTACTATTAAGACGTTACCAAGTCGTCATGACTCATTATTTTTCTTAAAAAAAAATCTCTGATTATTGCAGGCATGCAAGGCAATCTGCCGCTCAGCAGGTGCCTGCTCACACACTATCTTGCGTATGGCCTAGTATCAGTTTCGTTGAGAATCTTGCTTATATCGGTAAACTTTCAAATAAATATGCAAAAACGAGCGATATCCAAAAAAAGGAAAATATAAGTAATTGCTATTCCCCCTTTTTTTGTTAATGGACAAAAATAAAAAATGGTTCTGGGAGAAGAAACCGTTCACTACTCGTCAAAGAAGTTGTGGTTGTGCCTGTGACACAAAGTTATTGAAAGACATTGATTGTGATGATTTCCAAAATTATTTGAGAATAAATGAAGAGAAATAAATTTTTGTTAAGTGGGCCAAAAATAACAAAATAAAACACCAAGATGCGTGACAACATTTCTGCTGAACAAGGATTGGTAGCCAATTTAAGATATATGACTACAGGAAGAAATTATGTCTGTTTAAAATTCAGTTATAAAGACCACATCTACGGTAAAAAATTAACCGAGACTTGTAAAGCCATTGTTGACAGTCTCCGTGAGGAATATTCTTAGAGGATGGAAAAAATAAAGGAAATATTTAAAAGTAACTTCATTTTCGAAAAGTAAGAAAAGGTTGTATGGCATTATTCCAAAGCTGTTAAAACTCTTTACAAAAGAATACCCTTCATTCACACAAGAGAAACTAATGACTAGGCAGTCTGGTCTTTGACCTTCGCCTGTTCCAAACGGCACGAAGAAAAAAAAGCATTGTTACATACATACATCTATGGTTACATAGGTACGGTTATATAGCTTTTTCTGAATATCTAATCGAAACTAAATATCGATATTCGAAATCGGATTTCGAATTAATTAGTATTATAGTAAATTAAGTTAATTTAAGTGTCGAGCTTATTAGCTCATTGCTAGGTGGTTATACCACTAAGATTTTACATAGCGATAAAAAAGCGTCGTTTTATTAAAAAAAAGAAAAAACTGTATTTCCTAAAACTATATATTCATGGATGCAGCCGGCGTGCGCGCTGCGTTAATACATTGCTGTTACTAATATTCGGAATCAGATTTCGAAACTATATATTATTGGATATAGGCCGTGTGCGCCCTGATACGTTGCCGTTTGATTAAATCGTATAGTCCACCATAGGATGGAACGCGTTACGCCAGAACACAATAATTTCCATAAAAAATTCACTTCCCTTCATACAGTGTACAGTTTCGAAGAAGCACAAAAAACGGTTTCGCAATGATATCTGCTCAGTGAATGTTTGGTACGAAGCAATATCGGTATATAGTTTGGAAAGAATATGATTTAAAATACGCTATGCGGAGCAATATCGATATATAATTTCTAAAATAAACGATATCGGATATTCGATATTGCCACAATATATAGATTCAATAACTATATACGATTTGTAACGCCCATCCCTATTGTGACATTTGACTTTATTTCTTTCTATCTGTACGTGGCTAAAACGTTCACCGCGAAAAGCCAAGAGAAATAAGAAAAAAAAAATATCAAGGGACAATAGATAGAAAGTCGTGAAGATCGAAAACCACAAGTTCAAGGGCTGTTCAGGAATATCCTGTTGAAAAAATAGTATCGAGCCTATGGACAATGCAATCGAATTTATAGACTCGTAAGTATGGCTAAGCGAGAAAACACCTCCAAGGGAGGGTTCGTAATTAAACTATCCTGCGAAACCGTACAGAAATTGGCAGAAGAAGAACTGAAGAGTAAAAAGAACGAAGAACATCTTCCAGTCGCTAAAGATATTTCAGACAAGGATGTAAGAAATGTTGCGTCAGAAAACAAAACTGAACCGAAACTTAACACATTGCAAGCAAGTGAAAAACGGGACGCTTCAAAGGTTGATTTAGACAATAACAGTAATAAGCAAATTGTTTCTGCCCCTGAAACCATTATAGAAACTAACACAGCTACCAAAAGTAACGAATCAAATAGTAAAAGTGCAGATTCAGATAGTAATTCTTGGGGAGATTATGCTCCGTACATCACTTACGAAGGGGAAGATGCCACATACACTGATCCATCAACGCAACAAAAATACACATGGAATAAAGTATCCAGCACTTGGGAAGCTAAACCTGGCCAAAGCGATGTCACTGGTCGAGAATACAGCTATGAAGATGACACACACATTTACACAGAACCTGATGGTTCAAAATTTTTCTGGGATGTGGATAGAAAAGCCTGGATACCTAAAGTTGATGATGATTTTTTAGCTCACTACCAGATGTCATATGGTTTTGTTGATAATGCAACTAAAGAAGATGAAAAAAAAGATGAGGCTAAAAAGGAAGCTCACAAGAAAGAAACTGCTGGAATTAAAAGAAAAAATGAGCCACAGTGGTTTCAGGCTTCTGATGATACTAATACGAAAGTTTATGTGTCCAATCTGCCTCAGGAACTCACTGAAGAGGAGTTCGTAACTTTGATGCAGAAGTGTGGTCTTGTTGAACGGGATGCTGTTACACAGAAAATGAAAGTAAAATTGTACATGGATAAGGAACATAACTGCTTCAAAGGAGATGCTTTATGTACCTACATAAAAATTGAATCGGTTGATTTAGCATTGAAATTGATTGATGGAAGTGACTACAAAGGACATAAAATAAAAGTGGAAAGGGCAAATTTTCAGTTAAAAGGTGAATATAATCCAGCTCTCAAACCAAAAAAGAAAAAGAAGAAAGAGCTGGAGAAAATCAGGAAGATGCAGCAAAAACTATTTGACTGGCGTCCGGAAAAATTTATTGGTGAAAGATCTAAGCATGAAAGAATTGTCATTATCAAAAACTTGTTTCACCCTTCTGACTTTGACAAAGATGTGCAGTTGATACTTGACTACCAGCAGGATTTGAGGGAAGAGTGTTCCAAATGTGGGGAAGTGAGAAAGGTAGTAATTTATGATAGACACCCTGAGGGTGTAGCCCAAGTTACTATGAAAGATCCTGAGCAAGCAGATGCAGCAGTGCAGTTAATTAATTGCAGGTGGTTTGGCAAAAGACAAATCACTGCTGAGATCTGGGATGGAAGAACAAAGTATAGGATTGCTGAGACTGAAGCCCAGATCGGCAAGAGAATAGATAAATGGGACGAGTTCTTGGAGGGAAAAGATGAGCCTAATAAGAACTCCGAAGGAGCAGAAAAGAAAGAAGGCTCAGCTGTCGAATAATGAAGTACAAAATGAAGAAAAAGTAAATTTTTCTTGAAACCAGCTAGGATGTTATAAGCTCTATATATTGTGGTATAAAAATGGATTAACTTAGAACTTAATTTTAGATTTACGAAATAAATATTAGATTTTATCTTTTGACTTTATTAATTCAATTAATATTGAATAATGTTTATTATACAATATGTAAATATTGTTGATTTGGTTGGTTCTGAAAACGTAAACAATAAGCCTCATCTCTATTAATTAAAATTATTTTGAACAAAATGCGTTAGACCCCTGATCTCTAATATAATATCGATTATTATATATTTAGTGGTGTGATAAACTTATAAATAAAATAAAATAAATAAAAATAAATTTCACCAGAAAAAGGGCATTGACTAGGAACAGACGTTACGAACCCGGTTACTAGGATGGGAACTGTTTGCTCTCTATGCTGAGTGTAGCAGCTAGCGAAGGAATGGCGATGCTCCAGTCTGATATCACAACTGCCTTCTTATATGGGTCTCTAGATGAAGAAATTTTTATGAAACAACCGGAATGCTATGACGACGGGTCTTTTGCAGAAGAGTCTGTATGGGTTAAAGCAAGCACCACGATGCTGGAACCGTTGTATTACAGACTTCTTAAAGAAATTGGTTTAACAGATCCATGACTTTTGATAAAAAAAATAGCGCTCGGAAAAGTGATTGTGGCTTTGTAGAGCTTGATAGCCTGGTCGCTGGATCAAGTCAAGTTATGCTATATGAGTTAATTAAGGAACTCAATGGTCGGTTCAAGATAACAAAGCCTGTCTCTTATTTCTTTAAAATAAAGATAGAGAGCAGAGGAGATGGAATCAAAATATTCCAAACTTCTTATGTACAGAAGATCTTGAGGAAATTTGGGATGGATACTTGTAAACCGGTCTCGACGCCGATTGTAAAAGATAGTACGTCAAGCAAGAAAGTGGATATGAGTTATATGAAAAATAATTACAGATCAATCGTTGGAGCCTTGGCATACTTAATGGTATGCACTAGACCTGACGTTACATATGCTGTTAGTGCAGTATCACGGAGTCTGGAAAAACCAGAAGAAGCAGACTGTGTGCGACTGAAGCACATAATGCGGTATTTGCAGTACACACCAGATCTAGGTATCAAGTATAAGAAAAATTACAAACAAGGCATTTTGGAATGTTACAGCGATACTGATCGTGCGGGAGATATCAGCACTGGAAGATCCACAAGCGGGGTGCTGTGCATGTATGCGGGAGGAGCCATCTCGTGGTTGAGTCAAAGATAGACAAGTGTCTCAATTTCCACTAAAGAGGCTGAAATTGTAGCGGTTAGCGAAGCTGCTAGAGAAACTATATGGCTGTCTCTACTAATAAAGGATCTGGTTAATCTTAAGAAGATTCCGTGTTTAAAACTTGATAACGAGGCTGTTATAAGGCTAGCAGAAAATCCTGAATTTCACCGTCGTACTAAACGAGATGGTGAATAGTGGTGATCTGAAAGTTGACAAGGTGACTAGTGAAGATCAGCTGGCTGATATTTTCACGAAACCACTTGCCAGACCCAGGATTAAGAGGATTTCAGAACAAATAGGTCTCTGTTGAGAGATGTTAAAAAAAAGGGTTGCTACGACAACTAGAACCTGTTCGTTTGTTATGTTTGAAATCTGTCAATAAAAGAAAAACTCTTTTAAGAAAAGTACTTTACAAATCTATTTATTTGTGTTTATCTAGGTTAATTAAACAAGCTTAAGCTTTCCACATCTTCTATCCACCACTAACTCAGAACTACTATACTCCTGTTCCCCGCCAGAACGAGTTCTCCTACAGTAGATGACAGAGTTAAAGTGCCCCCAAAGTTCCTTAACAACAGGGACTCCTCCAAACTTCAGAAGCTCTGTAGTAACTCTGTCTTCACCTGGGACTTTTCCGTTTTGGAGCTGTTTTAGAGCCAATACGGTTTCGTCTTAGCTGATTTCTGGCAGTTCGTCGGAACAGCACCTCAGCAGTCGTCACATTTAAATTTGAAAAAAATATTCCACCTCTATGGGTGGCAAACTAGGGGATGAATCCGTTTTCACGCACTTTCCGGTAACCGATTTCAACAAAATTTGGCAAATACTTAGCCACGAACTTCTGAGGTCAGTCGTTTTTAACCGTTCTCAATTCGTCTGTATGTTTTTTAAGTAAGTTACCTTAGATAATTATTGACTATATAATTATGTTACGCGATAACTCAGCTATTTGTGAACCGATTTTCATGATACTTTTTTGTTGGAAAGAGGGTAACTCCATAGTGGTCCCATTTAATTTTGAAGAAAATCATCCACCTCGAAGTTCACGCATGAACATTACACACACACGCACAAACGCACACACACACACACACACACACACACACTTAATATTTAGAACATTTAAAAATACAGGCCCAGACATACATACACTTAACAACAAAACATACTAACATTGACTTACAATTATATGGACGTCGGGACCGCGCTAAAAAGTGTCCGCACTTGTAAGGCGCTAAAATCGTATACAGAGCGCCAAACTCCGCTTTAGTCTTCATTTGTTCGACTGACAGCGCGATACTGCGATGACATTACAATTTAAATTTCGAATAGATTGACTTGGGACATTTTTTTCGTGGTTTTTATATTAGACCTGTCGTCCATTTATTTGTAAGTCAATGCATACTAACAATAATTTTCCAATGTATTTAAAACTAATTTAACAACAGTTAATTTTCATTTTGCTTACTTTATAACTATTTAAGTGTAATGCCTATCTTTCTTGCATCGGCTAAGAGGTGTAAGGGTGAGAGCCTGGTGCTCTATAACACAGGTTAATCCTAGCATAGACACCAGACTTTCACAAACGAAACAGAATTCGGGAACATGTGAGGACCATAGGCATATAAGTTTCTTTTGTGAAGATAATATAACAACATAATATAATATAATATGTAGTATAGTGTAGCGTAGTGCAGTGCAGTGCAGTGCAGTGCAGTGCATGTAGTTATGTTTTTCGTGTTTTTCTCAAATCAAGTCGATAAATGAGACACTGTTTATTTTGTTTTATATGCAATAGGAATGAAGTTATTTTAATGATTCATTAATTTACATATAAGGAATATGATTATAATAACATTCATTCTAAGCATTAATAAAATAAGTTGCTAATTGCTACTACGCACGAGAACTGTCAAGAGTTTAGCTCAAATCACAGACTACTTAGTGATCAAATGGCGATGGCGGCGGACGAAGGAATGTAGTTGTTTTTCGGGAAAAATATATTATTTTAGTGTGTGTCTGCAGTTTTATTTAACCACTAGATCTTGACGACAATTTATCGGTTGACGGTAGCCGCCTTGTTGTTTGCACGACAGAATCGTTTAAAGCTACGATTATTTGTCGTCACATTTTTATCGTGACGTTTTATTTATCGTCAGACGACTGTCGTTCTAGCTCTTCCCATTGTCACGATAGTCTGTCGTCGTAACGTCAAGAATGTGAACGACAATCAATCGTGTTGGCCTAAGTGTGAACAACTTTATTTAAATATACAAGGCACGTCACTATAAACTCCTCGAGTAGGTATCGCCGTGACGACATAATGGGAACGCGCCCTACATAAATAACGATTTTGTTTTGATTGATTGCCTAACCAGTTATTGGTGATAATGCAGAGATCGAAAGTTCCTCTAAAACACGGGGCGATCGGATCTGTTATTGGCCTTACAAACAAATATTACTTCCTTTGTTACATATTATCTAGGAAACACCGTTTGTCTGAAATAAATAATCCAAATCTCAATTAATTGTAAGCAAAGAGTACCTACTTTAGTTTAAAATAACTGTAGAATAGTCATCTTTTATCTTTAGTTATCTCTATTCTCTATGTTGGTCTAGTTAGGGTCGTATTCCAGAACTCTAGAATAATAATTATATATTATTATTCTAGAAGAAACGTATCCGCGATCTTTAGTCTATGGTTACTGGCAGAAATACACAGGATGTAGCACTCATATAATTTAAAAAAAGATGTACCATAAATAAACTAACGAGCCGTCATGTTACTCATGTTGTCTGTGTCTGACACCTGACTTTTTTATGTTGCATACACAAGAGCGTTAATTTGAGGTTTTTTAATTGAAAACATACAATTCCAAGCGAGTTACAGACAGGTACATGCGTATGTTGCATATCTAGTGAGCGGTGAGCTATGGGAGTGACGTATGAACGGCCGTATCGCCGTCCGCTGCTCGGCTGAGCTGTCAACACATATCGGGGCTTCTCCGCCGTCTCCATGAATATTAACAGGATAATATGAGAGAATGGCCGTGCAAGCGGACTCCGGCGGGAAGGATGACGTGAAGACGCAGTTCGTGACACGCGAGGGCACGTACCGGCTGATGACCCTGTCGGAGTACTCGCGGCCGAACCGCGTCGGGTACACGAGCGGCTCGGGCTCCGGGCACGTGCGAGTGTCGTTGGTGGCGCTGCCACCCGCACCCGCGCCGCCTGCGCCCCCCGCCGAAGCGCACTCCTCCGACGACCGCATCTGCTTCAACCACGGCAAGGAGCTCTATGTTTACGTGTACAGGGGCATCAAGAAGGTAACTTGCATAGTTATTCTACTCTAATGTAAATGTCTATATTTTTTGCTAACATCTGCACTCAATCTTATATGTATACAAGGCGAGTTACAGTATCCTTTGAGGGTTTATTAAGCAGAATACTGCAAAATATAAATAATATTTAGCATGTCCCACTGGCTTATAATATACTCACCATAATAAATAATAATTTAGGACAAAAGTCAGACACACCAAAACTTGAATATAGGTCTTATTAGACTCCATTGTTGCAGGCAGCAGATCTCACAAAGCCAGTGGACAAGAAAATGTACAAGGGCACGAACCCCACATGCCACGATTTTAACACAGTGACTATGACAGCGGACAGTGTCTCCCTAATCATTGGCTTCTCTACTGGCCAGATTCAGCTCATAGATCCCATTAAGAAGGAATTAAGTAAATTGTATAATGAAGAGGTGAGATAAAACTTTACCATATCTTATCAGC